GAGCTGCACGAGGGCGGGTCCAACCCAAGCTTATTACATGAGCTGCGCACCGCGACCGACTATGCTCTTCGGACTACTAAGTCCGCCGCGTGTGCGCTGGGGAGGACGATGTCCACACTTGTGGTTCAGGAACGCCACCTCTGGCTAAACCTGGCCGATATGCGCGACGTTGACAAAGTTCGCTTTCTTGACTCGCCCATATCCCAGGCTGGCCTGTTCGGCGACACCGTCGGTGAATTCACCCAGGAATTCAAGGCGGTGAAAGAGCAGTCGGATGCGATGGGCAATGTCATCTATCGGCGTGGCCGTAAGCCCGCTCCGCCCGCCGAGCCATCCACCTCCGCTGTTCCTCGCCGAGGGCGCCCGCCAACGAGTGCTGCCCCGCCCCCGCCTGCGCCTCCGGCCAAGCGGGCGCGGCGTTCACCTCGAAAGCAGGCAGCCCCTCCTGCCCAGGGCGCCGTTAAGTCCGGTAAACGGACCGCGAAGCGTCCCTGAGACAGGCCATCCGGAGAAGAGGAAACTTGCTCTTTCCCCGCTGGAGGGCGGGGCCCCGATAACAACGGTACTTTTCAGTGCCACCAAAACATCAGTAAAAGAGCACTTTTTCCCTTCCCCGGATGTGACTGCACGAGTTCTGCCAGTCCGGGACGCGCTGCCTTCCGGCTCGCAGACTCTACGTGCTTCGCCAGTGGCTCACGAGCGCTGGGGGGACGGTCTCCCTTCCCTCAGCCCTCCAGCCCCCTCTCCGGAGTCAGGGTGCGGAGCCAGAGCGAATCGCTCTCCTCCAGCTTTTCCGCGGGACCCTCGTGCTTCCCGGATCAGCACACCCACTCCGCGCTGCCCCACCGCTGGTACGTCAGCGATTGTAGCGATGACTCCATTAGCGAGGGCTCTGCCTGCCTGGTTAGCGCGGGCCAGCCCCTCGCGGTGGCTCATACGCACAATCAGACTCGGTTACGCGATTCAGTTCGCGAAACGGCCCCCCAAGTTTACGGGCGTGTATTTCTCCAGGGTCAACCCCCTGTCCGCCCCTGTCTTGCGAGAGGAGATTGCTGCCCTCCTGGCGAAGGGTGCAATCGAGCCGGTTCCTCCAGCCGAGATGGAGAGTGGGTTTTACAGCCCATACTTCATCGTACCCAAAAAGAGCGGTGGGTCACGGCCAATCCTAGATCTGCGCGTTTTGAACCGCTGTCTGCACAAGCTGCCGTTCAGAATGCTCACGCAGAGGCGCATTCTCCAATGCGTTCGTCCTCGGGATTGGTTTGCAGCCATAGACCTGAAGGACGCGTATTTCCATGTCTCCATTCTTCCACGCCACCGCCAATTTCTGCGGTTTGCGTTCGAGGGTCGAGCGTGGCAGTACAAGGTCCTCCCCTTCGGGCTCTCTCTGTCTCCGCGGGTCTTCACCAAACTCGCGGAGGGTGCCCTAGCGCCCCTTCGGCTCGCGGGCATTCGCATACTCAATTATCTCGACGACTGGCTGATTTTAGCCCACTCGCGGGAGCAATTGATTATGCACAGGGACGAGGTGCTTCGGCATCTCCGCCTACTGGGGCTTCAGGTCAACCGAGAAAAGAGCAAACTCGCCCCCGTGCAGAGGATTTCTTTTCTCGGGATGGAGCTGGACTCGATCACCATGGTAGCGCACCTCTCCGAGGAACGCGCTCGCCTGTTGCTGAACTGTCTGAGGGAGCTCGACAGCAAACTAGTGGTCCCACTGAAGTTCTTTCAGAGGCTCCTGGGGCATATGGCATCCGCAGCCGCCGTCACGCCGCTCGGGTTGCTCCATATGAGACCACTTCAGCACTGGCTTCACGATCGGGTCCCCAGACGCGCATGGCACGCGGGCACACACCGGGTCTCGGTTACTGCGCTGTGTCGCTGCGCCCTCAGCCCTTGGAACGACCCCTCGTTCCTACAGGCCGGTGTGCCTCTAGGACAGGCGTCCAGCCATGTTGTTGTTTCAACAGACGCTTCCAACACGGGTTGGGGGGCCGTGTGTCGCGGGCATGCGGCTGCGGGCCTCTGGAAGGGTGCCCAGCTGCATTGGCATATCAATCGCCTAGAGCTGTTGGCAGTGTTCCTCGCTCTCCACCGCTTTTTACCGGTGCTGGAGCGGCAACACGTGCTGGTCAGGACGGACAGTACGGCGGCGGCGGCGTATATCAACCGCATGGGGGGTATGCGCTCTCGCCGCATGTCTCAGCTCGCCCGCCGTCTGCTCCTCTGGAGTCACCCGCGGCTGAAATCGCTGCGCGCCATTCACGTCCCAGGCACGCTCAATCGTGCAGCCGATGCGCTCTCACGACAGCTGTTACGCCCTGGAGAATGGAGACTCCACCCCGAGTCTGTTCAGCTGATATGGGCGCGATTCGGGGAGGCCCAGATCGATCTGTTTGCTTCCCCCGAGAACGCTCACTGCCAGTTGTTTTTTTCCCTGACCGAGGGCTCTCTCGGCACGGATGCACTGGCCCACAGCTGGCCTCGGGGCATGCGCAAGTATGCGTTTCCCCCAGTGAGCCTGCTCGCGCAGTTTCTGTGCAAGGTCAGGGAGGACGAGGAACAGGTTCTGCTAGTTGCGCCCCTTGGCCCAACCGGACCTGGATATCAGAGCTCTCACTCCTCGCGACGGCCCTCCCCTGGCGGATCCCTTTGAGAGAGGACCTACTCTCTCAGGGACAGGGCACCATCTGGCACCCTCGCCCCGATCTTTGGAACCTCCACGTGTGGTCCCTAGACGCGAGGAAGACTTAGGTAACCTACCGACTGCGGTGGTTAATACCATCACTCAGGCTAGAGCCCCCTCCACGAGGCGCGCCTACGCCCTGAAGTGGAGTCTATTCACTGAATGGTGCGTCTCTCGCAGAGAAGACCCCCGAAATTGCCAGATTAGTGTTGTGCTCTCTTTCCTTCAAGAGAAGTTGGACAGCAGGCTGTCGCCCTCCACTCTCAAGGTTTACGTGGCCGCCATCTCCGCTTATCATAGCGCGGTAGCTGGCGGCACCGTGGGAAAGCATAACCTGGTCATCCAGTTCCTTAGGGGTGCTAGGCGAATTAATCCATCTCGCCCCCCTCTCATGCCCTCTTGGGATCTCGCCCTCGTTCTCACGAGTCTGCGATCCGATCCCTTTGAGCCACTCGAATCAGTATCTCTAAGATTTCTGTCCCTGAAGACAGCTCTGCTGGTTGCGTTGGCCTCCATCAAGAGGGTCGGGGACCTGGAGGCATTTTCGGTCAGTGACTCGTGCCTGGAATTCGGGCCGGATTACTCTCACGTTATCCTGAGACCCCGCCCCGGTTATGTGCCCAAGGTTCCTACCACCCCCTTTAGAGATCAGGTAGTGAACCTGCAAGCGCTGCCCCCGGAGGAGGCAGACCCAGCCCTTTCTTTACTTTGTCCAGTTCGCGCTCTGCGCATTTATGTGGACCGTACTCAGAATTTTAGATCATCTGAGCAGCTCTTTGTCTGTTATGGCAGTCGGCAGCAGGGAAGTGCCGTATCGAAACAAAGATTATCCCACTGGATTGTGGATGCCATTTCACTCGCTTATTCGAGTCGAGGTCAGCCGTGTCCCCCGGGAGTACGTGCACACTCCACTCGGAGCGTTGCATCCTCTTGGGCGCATGCACGCGGCGCCTCTCTAACAGACATCTGTAGAGCTGCGGGCTGGGCGACACCCAACACATTTGCAAGGTTTTACAATCTGCGAGTGGAGCCGGTTTCCTCAAGGGTATTAGGTAACCCTTTGGTGATTGAGGAGACAACTCGGTAGGGTGTTGAAACACGCTTGCTGCGCCATTCTCCCTAACACGGAGGTACGTGCGCCTTTTTTATCTGTCAGTAAAGTTCCCCGTCAGGTGAGCCCTGCAGATTCCTCCGTGGCCCCCAGCACTGACTCAGCGGAGGAGTCACTTGCTGGCCCACTACGTTGTAGGTCTGCCCGCTGGTCAGCCCGCGTTTTGGGTATAGGTGCCTGCTATGCGTGATCCCCACTAGGCGATCCCATATGCTTATTCCGCCACGGTTAAGTCCCCCCCCTGGGCGGACCCGTGTCTTCCCTCTCCGCTAACCACTCTTTGCTATGCGTACTCCCCCTTTTTAGGGCTAGTCCATAGGTAAATTCTGCCATCTATCCCCCCCTTGGGTAACGGATGGCCTCCGCAGCGTCCTCCCTATCGGGATTGCACGCTTCCCAACGTACTGTCGTATTTCCTAGAATTATCTAGATGCTCACGACTTCCCAAAAAATATATCTAAATCCGTAAAACTTCTGTTGAAGTAGGATAAATTAGGGCCAGGGACACGTTGGAGGACCGCGCCCCCCATGATGTGGGTGCGTCACGCTTGCTTGACTATCTCCTCATCGGGGGTGTTGGTAAGGTGCAGTCATTATGGCGCTTTCCATATTCTCCCATTCATGGCACTGAAGTTCCCCAACCGAAGGGGAACGTTCGAGGTTACAGAAGTAACCCTTCGTTCCCCGAGGAGGGGAACGGAAGTGCCATATTCCGTCGCCATAATGACTGTCCCTTAGCTGTTTGAAAGTCTCTTCAGCTTAAAAGGATGGCGTCTGCTGGCTTCAGGTGTGCTTATATGCTGAGATGATTGCAGATGTCGCACACCTGCGCAAGCTTACGCTGCCAATTAATTTCATTCATTGGCCCGTTCAATACTCTCCAGATAAGCGGCTTCTGATCCGAATCCTCCCATTCATGGCACTTCCGTTCCCCTCCTCGGGGAACGAAGGGTTACTTCTGTAACCTCGAACGTTAATTTTCTACAGAAAAAAAATTTATTAGTTTAACTACTGGATCCTGCATTTATACAAAATGTTTACGTAACAGTGACAAATCAAGTAAGTCCACAAATTTGTCAAAATTAGTCAAGTTTACAAGTAGTTCTTGAAAGTAGACTGAGCAAATGATGCTTTTCATTGACCATTAGATTTAGATGAATCAAGATTATTGACACTACCCAAATTTTGTAGTGAGTGTATGTTTCTTTAAACTGAATGTTTTTCATTGACATACACATTTTCAAATGAACAATCTAAAATCTAACTGAATGTTTTTCACTCAGAATATAAAACGTTATCATACGGACAAATGGTGTTTAAAATACTATTGATTAAACTTAACGCATGACTAGAGTTTTGTTTTTACAAACAATAGCATTGAAATAATTCAAGCTTATGATTTTGCACTCTGTTGCACTTTTTCAACACAAAATGTAAGCTTTTTATGTATGTGCTAAAAATCCGTAATTTTGCGACACTGTCAAAGTTTGTAGGTTGCAAAGCATACTTGCTTTTAAAACTGTCGGTTCATTAAATTTACTTAATGTTGTTCCCTTTCTTTTGGAGTTTTTAAGAACATCAATGTTTCATTTAAGGGAAAAAAAATGTGATGTTTTGAAATACAATGGTTACATCAATATGGTCCAATGAGAGTTAGAATTTCTGGGTTTCATGATATGGGAATATTTTTAACCTCTAATGTGTCCCAAGTAACATTAATAACAACACTTAGCTACAGTTATTTGTTTCATAGTTGAATGCTACACGCAATACTGTCAACAAAGCACATTAATATCAAAGAGTAAATGCATTTTAATTTATGAATACTTTGCAGTAAACTTTAATGCTTTAATAAGTTTATTTTATCAACCCCCGAATGCAGAATGTTTTTTGAAACATTTCAGTATATTTTACGACCACTGCCATCTCACCAAATGATTTGACCTAATTCAAGCAGCCATTTTCTGCTGCACTTTTTAACACAAAATGCCTTTGCAAACTTTTTGCATATACGTTACAAGTCTGTAATTTTACACAACTCTCATAGCATCTGTTATGAAGCATACAGTAAAAGTCGTAATAACCATTTCTACTGCCAATTGTCTTTTGTTGTCTTAATTCTTCATAATTTTTTTTTTTTTCACGAGAACTATGAATCTACAAAACTAAATTTAATACTTGCCACTAAATCCGCATTAATATGTTTTTGCAACAGTGTCTAATGTACAGTGTATTGAAAATATTTTCTTTTCAACTGTCGTGAAAGTTTGAGTTGTAAATGTTTTGGATTTAAACCGGTGACACCCAACAATATTATGTATACCTTTTATTTATACACTTTTTCAAATGAATGAGAAATTACAAAATTGTACGTCAGTACTTCTAGATTTAAAACTAAATTGGGCAACAATTTTAAGGTTGTCTTTTTTCAAACTGACTACAAAACCGTTACACATGAGAAGTGTGTGTTATTGGGATGTCTTAAACGTCGACCGACTTTATTAAATGATCTGCAGTTTATACCATTTTGCTTTAAACAAGTAACCAATCCTTGACACGCTATGCAACATTTTAAATTTTCTAAATATGTAAATATTCATTTGGCATAAATATAGGACTTTAATAAATTTCGACAATATTTCTATTATTTGTTTCACACCGTCATGTTTAGCATCTAGCTCATTTTCTAACTATTTACAGTACAGGCATAGACACTTTTCAGAACAAGCAATAGGTCATTTATACCGCTAGACTTTGAATGCACCAATTAACACTTGGCCAATCTTGCGACTTTACTTTAAGTTAATATTTTTGTATGTAAACCTGATCCTGTAAATTTAATCCAAAATTTAAAAATGACTAGGTTGGGTAATGAAACGCCAAGCAGTTTATTTTTTCTTTAGAAATGCTTGTAGAATTGAAAATCTACTTAGTTACATTAAAACATTTTACTTGTTTAACACAAAATAATAAGTTCACTTAAGCTGAAAAACGTTTTATTTCAAGCACATATACACTGAAATAGAGTAGTACATAATGAACAAATATGACTTGCATAACAAAAACAAATCAACTAAAAAATATATAAATATATACAGTCATACATTGAAAAACAGGGTACACCAGAACAATAACGACATTACTGAATATCTAACCAACAAAGAAATGCTGCTAAAAGCATTCTGTCATGTTCTAGAATGTGGTTGGTCAAAATGTCCACAATCTCAGCAATAGTTGTTTATTTGTTTTGTGAAACTAGTGACACACAAATATCTGTTATATATGTAGACATACAAAGAACCTGCGTTATTCCCATCTCATCACTCAATTCAGTCAACACCTCCAGAATTTTTGTAATAGTTGCACAGACAGCACCATTGCTACGAACACACAGGTGTGTCAATTGATTTATCGTATCGCCCCATGAGTTTAAGGCCCCTCTCACAACATTCATTTCTCTCTTGAGATTTTTCACACGTTTGCCATCTCCTATACAATCATGATTAGAACCACACGCATCATTAATGATCTTCTCCAGAAGAAAGACCATATGGTCCCTATAATGCTGTTTAAACATGTCATCCACAATAGACCTTATTTGACAATGAAAAACAGTGTCGCACTCAGACCATTCATGCGCATCACCGTCAGCATTTTGAGAACAATAGCAATCCGCCATCTTTGCAAGGGGCTGTCAGAAGAAATCAGAAAATATTTTTTAGAAAACTTTTTTTTATTACATTACAAAGTATGCCCCATAATCGGTGTAGATCATATGCAGTAGTACCTTATAGATGATGCTGGTGTCCTTAAACAGCGATAGTTCAGTCTTATAGTTCAGTGCAAACAAGACCAAAGTAGGATCTGTTGTCCTCAGAGATAGTACCTTTTTATGTCTTTAATCTTTTTACTCCTGATCAATGGGTTCTTGTAGAAAGTTCTGGTATCAGTGACTGTACCCAAAAGCATTAGCCTACTCCTTGGTAGCTGTTAGTAACAATGGGTCGCTTTATCTACACATTTAATCAGGTCCACCTTCACTTACTGGGCAGTACTATGAACATCTGCCATGATGTCATAAAAGTCATGAATAAACATTTAGTTAACATCTTTTCATTTACTAAAGACATAGGTGTGATGATGTAGGGTTACCTATTTTACTAAAACTATACAGGGTCATACCATAAATATATTCACAATGAAAGATTTTAGAGAACTAATATTATAGATTTTTACATTTCATGGAAGTTTTAGGTTGACAAAATATAATGCTCAGCTGAAGAAATTTCAAAACCGGTTGCTACACAAAAAGGTCTGTAAAATAAATTTGAATGTTTTTATGCAAATATGTATTCGCTTTTCAACATTTTTGTGCAGTCTGAATTGTTCATTATAGTCATCTATTTGGTTTCCTATTAGGGCTCAAAGCAATCACATATTTAATTAATAATTGGCATATTTCTTGATAGCGTTCTTTTTAAAAGAATGATTGAGAAGAAATACGCTTACATCTACACTTACATATTTGTTTTGGAATTAAAAATGTAACGATACAAGACACGCTATTTATTTTAAGTAAAATATACTTGTAAGAAAATACAATTACATTTATGAAATACCCCATATAACTTATTACAATGCCTTTGAGGTAAAGAAAGAGAAAAAGTTTAAGAGACGGTATCCATAATTGGTTATTAGATTATAAATATTTTTAAAAGTCGAGTTTGGTTAAAAATCTAGGCCTACTAAAATTGGATCTGTTAAAACATAAAGAAGTTAAAGTTATGCTTTATACGTTCTGGTGATATATAAACATACACTTTAGCATCACTATAATATAGATAATCTACGAGTACCAACATTTACCAATTTGACACAAACTTTACAAAAACTGTTTGCATATGTTTGTTGCAGAGTAGCAATAAGTATTTTTGTTTTATTGTTATGTTATGTGACACTAAATCTATTTTCAGACCTATAATTTTAGTGAAATACTTATAATAAAATTGAAATAACAAGCTTATAAATTTAGCTAAACATCATGTGCTTGACATCTTGTTAAATAGTTAAAGCTATTGATTGTGCTAATTGAAAATTTAGCATTTTATTTAGCATATTTAGCCATTTTAAATCTGTCAGGGTATGTAAAGCTATCGCCTCTGCCTTGTTTGGTTGTGATTTTGGAATGTTTCCACAAATTGAAATATTAAAGTGTTTTTTATTTATTATTCTGCAACTTTGATGCAACATTGTAAAAGTTGTAAAAATATACAAAAGTACATATCATTCTGTTTTGTAAAAGCAGACAGTCGGCAAAGAACTGCATGCAACCGCTTCCTGGGCAAACCTTTTGTTTTGCTGTAAATCTATAATATTTTAAGGTGCAGCATGTAAGCATACAGCTTACAACTAACTGACTAATTGTACTATGACATTATTTGTCTAAGACATGTATTATTAACTATAAGTGTGACACATTTCAAGTGTAATAAATGAGTATATAGCAGAAAACAACTAGTCTCATATGTCATGTTTGTGTTCAGAGGTCTAAAAATTACTCAAAAATGCTACTCAAGTGGAAGATTAAACAATGTGTTGAAAATTGTACACATATAAAGGTATAATCGTTTGAATGTTAACATACTGAGTAAAACAAAGTGTGCTAGATTTAAATAGTACTTGTGTTATAGTAAAAGAACAGCAAGATTTAATTCATAGATTGTTGTTTAAACTTTAAAAACTCTCTCAACACAGCATTAATGAACGACATACAATGCTTTATCCTACTTTAGAACCGTCTGTGTTTAATTGTATTTAACTATCAAGCTACAGGCAAAAATATAAATTATTCATCATGCCTAAAGTTGTAAAACCCATGAATTAACTTGTGCAGATGTTGATCTGATAAAGTCAAGCCTTTTGCGGGGTCAAAACAAAAAAGTCAAGATTTCCATGTTTACTGTGTTCTTTTCAGTATAGTATACTGTAAAGGTATAATTTCAAGTGTCACAGTAGTAAACATTAAGCACACAGTAAACTATAACATTTTTATTTGTACAGCCTGTCAACCTATAAGAATAGTAGTTCACTTTTACTTGTAGTAAATAAATAGTTTGTGATGGAATGATGTGATGTAATGATGCATTTATGACAGCATTTAAACCATCCATGTGCTCATACAAACACACACACCACCCACAAACACCTGTCGGTGCTGTGTGCTCGATGCTTCAACACTTGGAGCACAGGTCCAACCAGTTTAGCGATTTAATTTCTAATCATAAACTGTAGTATCCATAGTGCTCTAGTATCTTGAAAGTACACTTGCAAGAGTACTGCTAGTAAAGCCTTAGTTAACTAGTAGTGCACATAGCATGTACCACTAGTGTTAGTTTGTTATTGAAAACATGACATGCTATTTGTAGAGGCCATTTTGGAAACAGCTGAAGTAACCACTGAGCAATTTTTAACAGAATAAGTACAATATTAGATTACTTGTGGGTTTTTAAAATTTTCATAATTTATTTGTAATAAAAATAATGTTAGCTTCAAACATTAATCAAACATGTAATGAACTTATTGTCAAAGTATACTTCTATACATAAAAGTACATTAAATACCCTAGAGATTATGCTGTAGTACAATTTAGTTACAATTAAAATATACCAAATTTAGAATTTCAAAACATGGCATCTCAAGATAGATAATTGTTGACTCTTTTGAAGTATACAGGCCTTTTGTCTAGCTGTATACTTTTGTGTTTTCATCTAATTATTTTTTTCACTGCAGTAAGCAATTATATTTGTGTAATTATAAGATTACCATCTTTTATAAAAATTTGACATTTGACATGTTCATTGACAATTTAGGATTTTTTCGCAGCAATTAATTTCAGTTAAGTCGACTCAAAATATTTTATTATCTATCTTAATACTTGTGTCTGTAACATTATATGAAAAATAATGTGGGCATGCAGTATGTTGAATTATCCAATCAATCAAAAGGAGTAAAAAAAAATATTTAGAACACGTACTGTAATAACATTGTGCACGTATAACAATGAACAAGCATATGACAAATAACTAAACCATTTCTGTTTTTATAAGTTTAAATATACTTAAGTCAGGTTTAAGTTTATGTCAGTGCAGCATCTAATTTAAATTTTGTGGATGTGTACGCAGGTAACAGACTGAATGTATATTTTATTAACAGCTTAACAGAAGTGTACTGATAGCAGACTTACTGGGGTTGATGAGTATTGTGGAGCTCGATGTGACGGGACATGAATTCTAAAGAATCAAAGCTTTTTGACTGTAAATAAAATTGGAAGTTGTAAAAAGTACTATATTTTTTAAAGTAATGAAGTAAAACTAAACAATAATTTTAATTGTACTCAAGTAGGGTACAAATCACAAAAGTAGACCTTAAGTACAGCAATCACCTATCATTGTTCGAGTACCTTACATCTTGTTACTATATTAAAGACCAGTCTAAAAATGTCACAATAAAATTTAATCATGTTCATGGAAAGTTGTATATGTTCATATTTTGGTAAATTCATCGAGCATGATTTTACTATGTACTATGATTTTACTATGAAAGTATGATAATTGTTTTTTTGAAAACAGCAATATTGTAAATAAAGACCATAGCAGTTACAAAAACAAAAAAAAAAAAAAAAAAAAGTTGATCTATTAGATAATATATATATAGCACAACAGAGCCGATTGGTATATTTGTAGAAAAAGTTTGTAATGGATTCAATAAAAATAAACGTACAGTACATTACAAACTTTTTCTACAAATATACCAATCGGCTCTGTTGTGCGTAAGCATCTAATAATTTAAAGATCTTTTCTAAAAGAAATAAAAAATAGTTGTTCTTCTGATATTGTCAGAACATCCCTGCGGTTGCAGAGCAAATGCATTTACTTGAATTAGGGCTACACACTTTGTAAAGTCAATAAAATTAAAACGTATCAATTAAGCTGATAATTAATAAATATACATGAAACTTAATTTTCAAAATGTACATAACTTTATCCTTTAAAGTAATTCACGAGAACCCTGCCACTGTAAAATTGTTTACAGCATATAAAAAAGAGACATACAGCTTCAATTCAAACTACATAAATTTGCTTATCTAATAGATCAACTTTTTTTTTTTTTTTTTTGTTTTTGTAACTGCTATGGTCTTTATTTACAATATTGCTGTTTTCAAAAAAACAATTATCATACTTTCATAGTAAAATCATAGTACATAGTAAAATCATGCTCGATGAATTTACCAAAATATGAACATATACAACTTTCCATGAACATGATTAAATTTTATTGTGACATTTTTAGACTGGTCTTTAATATAGTAACAAGATGTAAGGTACTCGAACAATGATAGGTGATTGCTGTACTTAAGGTCTACTTTTGTGATTTGTACCCTACTTGAGTACAATTAAAATTATTGTTTAGTTTTACTTCATTACTTTAAAAAATATAGTACTTTTTACAACTTCCAATTTTATTTACAGTCAAAAAGCTTTGATTCTTTAGAATTCATGTCCCGTCACATCGAGCTCCACAATACTCATCAACCCCAGTAAGTCTGCTATCAGTACACTTCTGTTAAGCTGTTAATAAAATATACATTCAGTCTGTTACCTGCGTACACATCCACAAAATTTAAATTAGATGCTGCACTGACATAAACTTAAACCTGACTTAAGTATATTTAAACTTATAAAAACAGAAATGGTTTAGTTATTTGTCATATGCTTGTTCATTGTTATACGTGCACAATGTTATTACAGTACGTGTTCTAAATATTTTTTTTTACTCCTTTTGATTGATTGGATAATTCAACATACTGCATGCCCACATTATTTTTCATATAATGTTACAGACACAAGTATTAAGATAGATAATAAAATATTTTGAGTCGACTTAACTGAAATTAATTGCTGCGAAAAAATCCTAAATTGTCAATGAACATGTCAAATGTCAAATTTTTATAAAAGATGGTAATCTTATAATTACACAAATATAATTGCTTACTGCAGTGAAAAAAATAATTAGATGAAAACACAAAAGTATACAGCTAGACAAAAGGCCTGTATACTTCAAAAGAGTCAACAATTATCTATCTTGAGATGCCATGTTTTGAAATTCTAAATTTGGTATATTTTAATTGTAACTAAATTGTACTACAGCATAATCTCTAGGGTATTTAATGTACTTTTATGTATAGAAGTATACTTTGACAATAAGTTCATTACATGTTTGATTAATGTTTGAAGCTAACATTATTTTTATTACAAATAAATTATGAAAATTTTAAAAACCCACAAGTAATCTAATATTGTACTTATTCTGTTAAAAATTGCTCAGTGGTTACTTCAGCTGTTTCCAAAATGGCCTCTACAAATAGCATGTCATGTTTTCAATAACAAACTAACACTAGTGGTACATGCTATGTGCACTACTAGTTAACTAAGGCTTTACTAGCAGTACTCTTGCAAGTGTACTTTCAAGATACTAGAGCACTATGGATACTACAGTTTATGATTAGAAATTAAATCGCTAAACTGGTTGGACCTGTGCTCCAAGTGTTGAAGCATCGAGCACACAGCACCGACAGGTGTTTGTGGGTGGTGTGTGTGTTTGTATGAGCACATGGATGGTTTAAATGCTGTCATAAATGCATCATTACATCACATCATTCCATCACAAACTATTTATTTACTACAAGTAAAAGTGAACTACTATTCTTATAGGTTGACAGGCTGTACAAATAAAAATGTTATAGTTTACTGTGTGCTTAATGTTTACTACTGTGACACTTGAAATTATACCTTTACAGTATACTATACTGAAAAGAACACAGTAAACATGGAAATCTTGACTTTTTTGTTTTGACCCCGCAAAAGGCTTGACTTTATCAGATCAACATCTGCACAAGTTAATTCATGGGTTTTACAACTTTAGGCATGATGAATAATTTATATTTTTGCCTGTAGCTTGATAGTTAAATACAATTAAACACAGACGGTTCTAAAGTAGGATAAAGCATTGTATGTCGTTCATTAATGCTGTGTTGAGAGAGTTTTTAAAGTTTAAACAACAATCTATGAATTAAATCTTGCTGTTCTTTTACTATAACACAAGTACTATTTAAATCTAGCACACTTTGTTTTACTCAGTATGTTAACATTCAAACGATTATACCTTTATATGTGTACAATTTTCAACACATTGTTTAATCTTCCACTTGAGTAGCATTTTTGAGTAATTTTTAGACCTCTGAACACAAACATGACATATGAGACTAGTTGTTTTCTGCTATATACTCATTTATTACACTTGAAATGTGTCACACTTATAGTTAATAATACATGTCTTAGACAAATAATGTCATAGTACAATTAGTCAGTTAGTTGTAAGCTGTATGCTTACATGCTGCACCTTAAAATATTATAGATTTACAGCAAAACAAAAGGTTTGCCCAGGAAGCGGTTGCATGCAGTTCTTTGCCGACTGTCTGCTTTTACAAAACAGAATGATATGTACTTTTGTATATTTTTACAACTTTTACAATGTTGCATCAAAGTTGCAGAATAATAAATAAAAAACACTTTAATATTTCAATTTGTGGAAACATTCCAAAATCACAACCAAACAAGGCAGAGGCGATAGCTTTACATACCCTGACAGATTTAAAATGGCTAAATATGCTAAATAAAATGCTAAATTTTCAATTAGCACAATCAATAGCTTTAACTATTTAACAAGATGTCAAGCACATGATGTTTAGCTAAATTTATAAGCTTGTTATTTCAATTTTATTATAAGTATTTCACTAAAATTATAGGTCTGAAAATAGATTTAGTGTCACATAACATAACAATAAAACAAAAATACTTATTGCTACTCTGCAACAAACATATGCAAACAGTTTTTGTAAAGTTTGTGTCAAATTGGTAAATGTTGGTACTCGTAGATTATCTATATTATAGTGATGCTAAAGTGTATGTTTATATATCACCAGAACGTATAAAGCATAACTTTAACTTCTTTATGTTTTAACAGATCCAATTTTAGTAGGCCTAGATTTTTAACCAAACTCGACTTTTAAAAATATTTATAATCTAATAACCAATTATGGATACCGTCTCTTAAACTTTTTCTCTTTCTTTACCTCAAAGGCATTGTAATAAGTTATATGGGGTATTTCATAAATGTAATTGTATTTTCTTACAAGTATATTTTACTTAAAATAAATAGCGTGTCTTGTATCGTTACATTTTTAATTCCAAAACAAATATGTAAGTGTAGATGTAAGCGTATTTCTTCTCAATCATTCTTTTAAAAAGAACGCTATCAAGAAATATGCCAATTATTAATTAAATATGTGATTGCTTTGAGCCCTAATAGGAAACCAAATAGATGACTATAATGAACAATTCAGACTGCACAAAAATGTTGAAAAGCGAATACATATTTGCATAAAAACATTCAAATTTATTTTACAGACCTTTTTGTGTAGCAACCGGTTTTGAAATTTCTTCAGCTGAGCATTATATTTTGTCAACCTAAAACTTCCATGAAATGTAAAAATCTATAATATTAGTTCTCTAAAATCTTTCATTGTGAATATATTTATGGTATGACCCTGTATAGTTTTAGTAAAATAGGTAACCCTACATCATCACACCTATGTCTTTAGTAAATGAAAAGATGTTAACTAAATGTTTATTCATGACTTTTATGACATCATGGCAGATGTTCATAGTACTGCCCAGTAAGTGAAGGTGGACCTGATTAAATGTGTAGATAAAGCGACCCATTGTTACTAACAGCTACCAAGGAGTAGGCTAATGCTTTTGGGTACAGTCACTGATACCAGAACTTTCTACAAGAACCCATTGATCAGGAGTAAAAAGATTAAAGACATAAAAAGGTACTATCTCTGAGGACAACAGATCCTACTTTGGTCTTGTTTGCACTGAACTATAAGACTGAACTATCGCTGTTTAAGGACACCAGCATCATCTATAAGGTACTACTGCATATGATCTACACCGATTATGGGGCATACTTTGTAATGTAATAAAAAAAAGTTTTCTAAAAAATATTTTCTGATTTCTTCTGACAGCCCCTTGCAAAGATGGCGGATTGCTATTGTTCTCAAAATGCTGACGGTGATGCGCATGAATGGTCTGAGTGCGACACTGTTTTTCATTGTCAAATAAGGTCTATTGTGGATGACATGTTTAAACAGCATTATAGGGACCATATGGTCTTTCTTCTGGAGAAGATCATTAATGATGCGTGTGGTTCTAATCATGATTGTATAGGAGATGGCAAACGTGTGAAAAATCTCAAGAGAGAAATGAATGTTGTGAGAGGGGCCTTAAACTCATGGGGCGATACGATAAATCAATTGACACACCTGTGTGTTCGTAGCAATGGTGCTGTCTGTGCAACTATTACAAAAATTCTGGAGGTGTTGACTGAATTGAGTGATGAGATGGGAATAACGCAGGTTCTTTGTATGTCTACATATATAACAGATATTTGTGTGTCACTAGTTTCACAAAACAAATAAACAACTATTGCTGAGATTGTGGACATTTTGACCAACCACATTCTAGAACATGACAGAATGCTTTTAGCAGCATTTCTTTGTTGGTTAGATATTCAGTAATGTCGTTATTGTTCTGGTGTACCCTGTTTTTCAATGTATGACTGTATATATTTATATATTTTTTAGTTGATTTGTTTTTGTTATGCAAGTCATATTTGTTCATTATGTACTACTCTATTTCAGTGTATATGTGCTTGAAATAAAACGTTTTTCAGCTTAAGTGAACTTATTATTTTGTGTTAAACAAGTAAAATGTTTTAATGTAACTAAGTAGATTTTCAATTCTACAAGCATTTCTAAAGAAAAAATAAACTGCTTGGCGTTTCATTACCCAACCTAGTCATTTTTAAATTTTGGATTAAATTTACAGGATCAGGTTTACATACAAAAATATTAACTTAAAGTAAAGTCGCAAGATTGGCCAAGTGTTAATTGGTGCATTCAAAGTCTAGCGGTATAAATGACCTATTGCTTGTTCTGAAAAGTGTCTATGCCTGTACTGTAAATAGTTAGAAAATGAGCTAGATGCTAAACATGACGGTGTGAAACAAATAATAGAAATATTGTCGAAATTTATTAAAGTCCTATATTTATGCCAAATGAATATTTACATATTTAGAAAATTTAAAATGTTGCATAGCGTGTCAAGGATTGGTTACTTGTTTAAAGCAAAATGGTATAAACTGCAGATCATTTAATAAAGTCGGTCGACGTTTAAGACATCCCAATAACACACACTTCTCATGTGTAACGGTTTTGTAGTCAGTTTGAAAAAAGACAACCTTAAAATTGTTGCCCAATTTAGTTTTAAATCTAGAAGTACTGACGTACAATTTTGTAATTTCTCATTCATTTGAAAAAGTGTATAAATAAAAGGTATACATAATATTGTTGGGTGTCACCGGTTTAAATCCAAAACATTTACAACTCAAACTTTCACGACAGTTGAAAAGAAAATATTTTCAATACACTGTACATTAGACACTGTTGCAAAAACATATTAATGCGGATTTAGTGGCAAGTATTAAATTTAGTTTTGTAGATTCATAGTTCTCGTGAAAAAAAAAAAATTATGAAGAATTAAGACAACAAAAGACAATTGGCAGTAGAAATGGTTATTACGACTTTTACTGTATGCTTCATAACAGATGCTATGAGAGTTGTGTAAAATTACAGACTTGTAACGTATATGCAAAAAGTTTGCAAAGGCATTTTGTGTTAAAAAGTGCAGCAGAAAATGGCTGCTTGAATTAGGTCAAATCATTTGGTGAGATGGCAGTGGTCGTAAAATATACTGAAATGTTTCAAAAAACATTCTGCATTCGGGGGTTGATAAAATAAACTTATTAAAGCATTAAAGTTTACTGCAAAGTATTCATAAATTAAAATGCATTTACTCTTTGATATTAATGTGCTTTGTTGACAGTATTGCGTGTAGCATTCAACTATGAAACAAATAACTGTAGCTAAGTGTTGTTATTAATGTTACTTGGGACACATTAGAGGTTAAAAATATTCCCATATCATGAAACCCAGAAATTCTAACTCTCATTGGACCATATTGATGTAACCATTGTATTTCAAAACATCACATTTTTTTTCCCTTAAATGAAACATTGATGTTCTTAAAAACTCCAAAAGAAAGGGAACAACATTAAGTAAATTTAATGAACCGACAGTTTTAAAAGCAAGTATGCTTTGCAACCTACAAACTTTGACAGTGTCGCAAAATTACGGATTTTTAGCACATACATAAAAAGCTTACATTTTGTGTTGAAAAAGTGCAACAGAGTGCAAAATCATAAGCTTGAATTATTTCAATGCTATTGTTTGTAAAAACAAAACTCTAGTCATGCGTTAAGTTTAATCAATAGTATTTTAAACACCATTTGTCCGTATGATAACGTTTTATATTCTGAGTGAAAAACATTCAGTTAGATTTTAGATTGTTCATTTGAAAATGTGTATGTCAATGAAAAACATTCAGTTTAAAGAAACATACACTCACTACAAAATTTGGGTAGTGTCAATAATCTTGATTCATCTAAATCTAATGGTCAATGAAAAGCATCATTTGCTCAGTCTACTTTCAAGAACTACTTGTAAACTTGACTAATTTTGACAAATTTGTGGACTTACTTGATTTGTCACTGTTACGTAAACATTTTGTATAAATGCAGGATCCAGTAGTTAAACTAATAAATTTTTTTTCTGTAGAAAATTAACTAAAGTTAACTGGGGGCCAGAGCTGTAATTTTTTTTAGATAAAACTGAAAATAAATGTTTGTTTATATTTTTGTTTAATATTTGAAATAATCCATTTTTTCTTTATAATATCAAGTATTTTTAATTCATTCAAATCAGTTTGAAATACCAAAATTCCTTAACTAAGTTAAATGGCTTGAATTGAGTTTTACAATTACTACGAGTAATACATACATTTTGTTTACTTTTTGAAACAGAAATATCGATACTGTCTAAAGACTGATAAGTTCTTATAGTAAATATTTTATGTTTATTTTCAAATCTACACTAGTGATGAAAAAACATTAAGTTTTTTTAGATTATTCATACTACAATGCGTGCCATAAATTACAGAACATACTTGTAAATATATTGAAAATGTGTTAGTCAAAAGAAAATCATTCAGTTTTTCATTAATCACAAAGACAACTTAAATTTACATCTGTGTTTTTCAACCAACAGTTTAAAACATTACATTTTTAGATTAAATTATTTTACAAGGACAATTTGTCGTCAATACAGATTAAGATTTGTTATTTAATGGATTACTATTGTAAACATATTTTTATTTGATAGTTCCAACGTTGATATATTAAAATGATATGACTGATGCTCTTTTGTCTGTCTTAAAATATTTATTGGTTTAACTTGGATGCATGTGAACATAAAGATATGCAATATCAGCACACTTTCTAATTACCTAACAACATATGGCATTTAGTAGGAGACACCAACCACATACAGTCACATACATACAGATATATGTTCCATATCTGATATTAATCTATCTTTCACAAACAGTTGACTTGGTGTTGTCTATTGATAAGTTTTCCTTATCATCACTCACACACCATGATAGACACAGACACACAGTCAGAGCCACTCCCCACACCCACAGTCCTATCAGAGAGACAGACGCACGCACAAACACAAAGTCTCACGCTTAAACAACCCGGAAAGAGCCGGACTGAACGATAACCATGTCAACGGACGTTTGCGTTTATTTAACAACCGATGTCATAATGTTCGCTTATCAGATACACGCATAGGCTGTAAAAGTCATCAGATGTCTTTTATCTTTCTCAAGCACGCTTCAACCGGTTCAAATTTCCCGCACACATACACCCATGCAGGTACAGCCAGAGCCTCTCGACACACCCACACCCGAGCCGGAGAGACGCACACACATACACAGACACGCAGTTCTGACCATAACAGAGCAAAGGCAACACAGCGGTGCATACACCTTAGTTTATTATAATTATAAATATAATTTATTTATAATAACATAATTTAAAACAATAATGACAATATAATATTGTATAATTATAATAATTGAATTTATTACAACAATTAAAATATAATACTGTATAATAGTTAATAATATAGTTTTAATAACTGTTGATATAATTTATTTCATTATAATCTATTTCATAATATTAAAATATCTCATATTAATGTAATAATAACGGAATTATTAATTTTATTCAATTGATAAGAATCTAATTACCGGAATTATTAATTTAATTAAAATGATAAGAATCTAATTACCGGAATTATTAATTTAATTCAACTGATAAGAATCTGATTACCGGAATTATTAATTTAATTCAACTGATAAGAATCTAATTAACGGAAAGGGGCGGGGTTTACACCGGAAGCCACGCCCTAAAAGGGGCGTGGCGGTCATCAATCAAACTTTTTGACACATGCCACCGGATATTACTCTCTCTATTGTTTCGTTCTTCAAAGCTGATCCGAGAGTTGTTGTCATGGCAACAGTTGTGCTAGGTCAAACCTGATCGGAAGCAGGTTCAATTCACATAAACAGGATTAGATCGGCTTAGTTCAAGCAAAGATAATACAGAAAGTATGTTCCGAATTCTGATATTTTCTTACAGTAGTAGTTATATACACTTGGGAAAATGATACATATTTTTTAACTATATATATAAAGTTATAGTCATTAATAAAATAAATAAAGTTATACATATTAATAAAACTTATGCAATCTGCACCCTCGAAATGAAAGTACAAAGACTGCCATCTGGTGCAAAGAGCAAACTTAGTGATTTGAACTTTTTAGATCGCTTTAGTACAAATTGTGTAAATTAGAAATGCACAATATGTGACTTTTTTTTCAAGCAATAATACATTTATGCAGTCATAAACATATTTTGATAGTTAATATGCCAGTGATTTGATGCTTCACAAAAGTTGCAGACACCTTTACCAATATGAAAATGCTTTCGTAAACAACCAGTTATTCTTTACACCGATTAAAAAACGGCTATAAAGAAAATCTTTTCTAAATGTAGAACTAAATACATTAATTTGCATTGAAATACATGATGAATACTCTTGTCTTGACAAATGAAAGAGTAAAGCCTGCAGCTCACAACAAATGTGTAAAGTTCTTGCGTGTCATATTTAACAAACCGTTTACTGCTAATTTGATGTAATTTTGCTCACATAGATAATTGAATATTAATCAGATGATGTCATTACGCTGCTGTGCCGTCAGCCAATCGTTGCATTGCTGATCATGATTTCGAGGATCGATAGATCTGTCCTTCATAACACACACAGCGATCTCAGATGAGTTCATCCAGACATTCTAATCTGATCCGCGAACTTGTTTGAAGAACCAAATTAACAAGAGATAAGTTATCATGATTAAAAGATCCAGGATCTGCCAAATAATTTTAGATCATTTAAGCGAGGTACGAAGAACGGACCCCTGGTTTGACCTAGCAGAACTGTTGCCATGACAACAACTCTCGGATCAGCTTTGAAGAACGAAACGATCCTGGATCGTGTCAAATCGTCAATATCCAAATCCAGCTAACTGAGTAATCCACGTACGAAGAACGGACCCCTGGTTGGCTAGTTTAAACAGTTTTTTCACAAGGGGTTTAAATTTGGTTTTGACCTAAAACTTTGAGCTAAAACTTTTATAAACAAGAGCTCAGTACGTTAGCCTAACGGTAGCGTTACCTATGCTAAGACCCTAACAGACTTTTTCGAGACTCTAACCATTTCTATAAAAAAAATATTCAACAGAAAAATGTCAATTACCAGTAAGAAAAGAGTCGAGAACAGTTGTATGTAATATTCGAGTGCTATTAGGGACTAAACTTATCTGAAATTGGCGAAAACAGCCGCATGAGCAGTTTTGTTGACAGCCAGATTGAGTGCCATTGCTTAGGGATTAGGGAGTGCTCGATTCTCAATGGACCTAGTGTTGGAATTGATTCGAAGACAGGAATCGATTCCCAGAGACGAGTGTTTTTTTTCAAACCCAGAATGAAGCAGTTACACGCTACATTACAATAATAATGCTCATTCTTGAGCACGATTAACATCGAAGACACGTTTTACATGTTTGCTTTTGAATTTTAAGAGGCGTTCTGAGCAACGCCTATATATACCAAAGCTGTCTTACCTGCAGCATCTCACGACTTTAGCATTGGCACATCCAATCGCTGTAGCCTTGTCCAAACAGCAAATTTTCATGAGGATGACACGGCTCCTCTTGCAAACTCCAAGCCGACGTCTAGCGCATCAGCACTCGGCAGAGCATATCAACAGAGTCCGCGGTCTTAACTTAGGCCCGCCACGCCACCGCTCTTCCAGACACCGGCAACAAACCTGAGCCGCTCCCCAGTTGTGAACCACCGGCCCAGATCAAGCGAGTGCCAGGCCACCGCTCTACAGGCGAAGCACCACTATCGGCCAATTCGCCATGACAGCGTGAGCACGTCTCCGCTACGGCCTCATCCACCCCCCACGCACGGAACATTTCCACTTAGGCCCCGTTTACACTAGTGCGTTTTAGTTTTAAAACGGCGTTTTAGAATGAAAACGATCCGCGTCCACACTCGCGTTTTACCCAGCGTTTCTGAACTGCTCTCCGTCCACACCAAAACGCTAAAAACGCACATCACGTGACCACACAGACACTCTCAGGGAAGCGCTGCAGCCCATCTACCCAGATGAGAGCTGTGCTAGTCGGACTGCTCATCAAGCATCTCCCGCTGGATCTAATCTCACTATATTTATTAAACGTGATATTTCATTCATCTTGTTGTCTTTATCTAACGACAAATTCCCTGACTTTGGTCACTGGAATCTATTACTTGTTCTCAGGTAACGTGTTTTGGCTGAGCGCAAAAATAAGTTAATGATTAATGTAACCACATAGCCTATTCTGTATATTGACTGATCAATTGCCTTTATTCCCTATAATGTATAAACTTTTTGTATGTTATACTTTTATAATGGCCATTATCGATTATTACAACTGATATTCAGCAAAGGAAAGGGTGTGTTTCGTATTTTCACTGAATTTGAAAGGAGGCAGTTGTTATCGGCTCCGTTTCGTTATAAATATCCACACAGTGAAGATGACGGTCATGCAGCACGATGCCTCAACATTTCTGCTGTCTAAGTTGTTAATATTAAAATGAAAATAGGCAGTTCCTTATATCAGTTTACATTTTATTGTTGAGAAAGTGAAACAACGTAGCCAGGGTGATGTGAATGAAGTTATAAAGTACACTGTTCCCTTTGAAGATTTACCCGTGTCCTCGGTATAGTCTGTTTTCCATATCAAACTGAGAAGAAGAGACTGCAGCCTCGATCATACTTGCGAAGTCTGAACTTACACGGAGAGAATGCAGGACTGAACTGTGTGTGTAGGCTACTTAATATTGAGGAAAAGCCCCAATCAGAGAGGCGAATGTCTGCAGCCCCGCCTCCGTTTTCAGATGTCTCCGTTTTCCATTATCCACACTGAGACGGAGCAGCAGCGTTTCAGAATGAAAACTGCCTCTCCAGCGTTTTCGAAACGCTCCGTTTTCGGCGCTCGAGAACTCCGGCGTAGTGTGGACGGATGGCGTAACCGTAGCAAAACTTATGCGTTTTCAAACTAAAACGCATTAGTGTAAACGGGGCCTTAGTAGCGCCCGCAATCACTGCTCTCGGCGCGCCAAATTTAGGAATAGCAAGCCTGTCCGCTCGTGAGTGTGACGTCACGCGAAGCGGCTTCCGGGTCCAAGCGCTCTATTC